AACCCACCATAAAGCCACAGTTCCCCCCACCTGCTGTAAAGGGCACAGTCGTGTTTCTCCCCATCTCAGACCACTCCCCAGGAGGAAGCATTTGTACCTGCCCATGGGGGCTGACACTGCCGTTTTTCTCTTACAGAGTCCAGGGGACTGACTGCACCTTCATCATTGGTGGCACTATCACCTTTTAAAATGGTACCGTTAAATAACATACTGCCTTGTGGGATCTTCTCTGCAGTGCCTTTAGGAGAATTATATATATCCTCTGGGAGCTGGGGAAGCTGAACTAAATGGTCCACACTTCTGTTCATTGCCATTCACTCATTTTTGCCTTACACGTTTCTAATGCTCCGTGCTGCTGCCTTGCTTCAGCCCTCCAGCTCAGCCACACCAATGCATAAATGGGGCAGAAGCACAGCGTGCAGCTATGGGGCCTCTAGCTCACCCCACAAGCGGCTTAGTATCATAAGCACCTGGGGAGGGTAATTACGCAGGGATGCAAGGGCACACCAATGATGCTCTGCTATACAGGTCTGTGACAGGGTGGTAGGCAGGGAACAGAGGGGCACCATACAATCACAGCGATGCAGAAAAAGCTGGATGTGTGTCTCCCATCCACCTCTTCCCACCTACTTCAGCATGCACAGCTAAACACCAGTGCTTTCCCACGACTCCACATGCTCTGGGGGAACCCAACAACATTTTATTGACATTATAGTTCCATGACCAGAGCAGATGTAAGAGATTCACTGCCCTTTAGGCATTCCAGACTTTTGCAAACATGCCTAGAAACAAGGACAAATTTTCCCAGGCTTGCATTTCTAGTGACAGCCCACCATTAGTTTGGATTTGTGGAGACTTTGGTCACACATTGCTTCTCTGGTGGCTGAAACCCTACCAGAAGCATGGGGACAGCAGTGCAGGCTGCTGCAGTGGGCAGCTGAGCAGGTGGCGGATGCATGTTCACCCGGTATGGCATTTCACACACAAAAAAAAATACCCTTAATGCTAGAGGCTCCGTCTACCCTTTTGCATAAAGCTTGCAGAGTTGTGAGGCAGAGGGAGGGGAGGGGTTTGTGTAGACAGAGGCAATTATGGAAAAGAGCACTTTAAAGAGCTGCAGGGCTGAAGGAAGCCTTGCAAGGGTTTTGTCAGTACGTCGTATGTCAGTGCTACTGAGCATACTGCTAGTTAGGGCAATGCTGTGCATAAACCACAACTTTGGCTTGTATATGAATTTTAAATGAGCTGTTAGTACACCCAATGAATCTAGCAAGAGAATACCAATTTAGGGCTCTGACGGTCTGCTCTATAAGACCAAGTAAATAACTCCGTAAATAACTCAAGTAAATTTCCTGACACTTTATTGAGCATGAGTGAACAAACAACAAACAAAACCAGAGTTACTTCTACAGCCAGCATATGTCGCAGGAAAGCAGAGCAAGGGGAGGTGCTGGCCCACATTGTGCTGCACCAGCCATCCCCCTTGCCTGCCGCTGGGGCGGGCAGGAATGGGTCGATATCTTCCATGCTTTCCGCGTGGATGGATGCAAGAGAGTACGTGTTGGGCAAGCACCAGCTATTGGGTTTTGCTCCCAGGAGATTTTGGTAGGACAAATATTGTCTCTTCCAAGGGACACAGGACGTCTTGAGGCAATTCCTTCCATACCTCCTGGAGCTCTTCAAAACCCGAGAACATACCCATTCCTGCCTGCTTCTCCATCCTCTGATCACAATCAATGTTTCAGAATCTATGGAGATAATACTCACCAAGACAGACCAGGTGAGCTGACTGATAAACAAAAGACGCTCTCAGAAAAAAAGACACTATTTCAATAAAGTATGTGGGTCAGTGTTTTTCTCTACAAAGGTCTCCAGAACAATATGACCCAGGAGACTTTCTCCAGGATGGGATCAGAAGGGAACACACAGAGTTTAAGGCTGAAAACAAGGTTTGCACCAACATTTCTTCCTGTGTGTCAACAAAAGAAATATAGTATATGATAGTCTACAGATTGTTCCTATGCGTGCCAAAGGCACAGGAGGAAGGTCACCCTGTAGCCTATATTCTGGTCACTTTTTTGCATGCTTCTAAAGCTCACTGCAATGCAACACTCATTGCTGGTTCTGTCCAGGCTGGCAAAACTTCCTGTCACTGTGTGCTCTAAAATTAAGTGATCTGCTGCCTAGAAACTCCACTGAGAAATATCAGGGCCAAGATCCACCCCAAACCCCAAGAAAGCAGCAGCATGGAAGCTCAGTGCTTACTTTAAAAGCCAAGCCAAGCACCCCTGACTCAGCACCACCATGCCACCTCCCACCCTGGGAGCCAAGTGCAGCCGGCAATAATCTCTTCTAGCCACTCGGTGAAGAAACCAGACATGGCATTGCCTATGTTCACCTCACGTTACTAATCATATAACTGTGCATTTGAGTGCACCCTTTACCAGATGGCTTTCAGAATTATTTTAAATGTTAGCTTGCATTTTCTTTGAATATTTAAATGCTCATGCTGGTCTGCTTTCCTTTCCTAAGCAATGCATTGATTTACGTTGCTAGATACCGTATCTCCCTGCCTTGCCAAAAGCATGCATTTGGGAATGATTTCAGAGCTGCTAGTAATATTTTTTCTCTCCTTTTATTTTGTACTTTATTTTTATTAACTTTTTTGCTGGCTATATTGTTAAAATAAAACTGTGTCTTGAAGAAACAAAGCCAAAACCCCAAACCCCTCCTTGGCTCTTTGCCCATCTGCTTCACACACCGTTTTCAGACAAGTTAGCTCCGTGGCCAAGAGCAAAGCAAATGCAGTAGATACGTACTAACATACCGACCTGAGCTTCCCCCCCTCAGTAAATTCTTGCTTTAGGCTCACATGCAGGAGTCAGCCCAGTCCAAGGTCAGGACTGCTGGTGTCCCATTCCCAAGAGGCAGGAGGTGACTGGAGACACCTGTGACTTGACTGCAGGGTCTCTGGCCACTCTCACATTTAACGCTTTCTGGCACAGAAGCCACAACCTCCAGTGCCTTTTAGGAGGATTGGCAAAGCTCCTTCCCGTTCCCTCAACAACAGTGCCCCTTCTTCACAGTCTTGACTTCCACATTGCCTTTGCAGCATCCTTCAGTCCTAGGAGGGGATTCAACACACGGATTTGCACTGCCTAAGGAAATCAGCATTTCCACCCTAGACTAGGCAGCGATGCTGTAAGTTTTAAGAGCAGCTGTGTCTGGACCAGCTTCATTATTTTTGCAAAGGGAATTCAAAAGCCAAGTATTTCTAAATGCAGGAGGATTTTAAAACTGGAGAGACGGGTCCAAGGGAGCATGACCTCAGTGAGAGAGAGTTAGAAATGACTGGTGGAGCAGTCTCAGGGATGGAGATCAAAGCACTGGCAGACGCTTGCTGGGTGACTCTGCACAGCAGCCTAACCACCAGCACTGCAGCCCTCAGCCTTTGCAGGCCCACGACGATAAGGAGAGGCTTATGCTCAACCAGCACGTGCTCAGCGATTCACATACAGTGTGTACCTGTACGACACAGTGGGACCTGGACATGTGAACCATGAGCGTGTTCAAGCATGAGGAATTTATACTATGGATATGCCTTCAGGCCCCAGCAGTGTGTCAAGATCTCCTTTACCCAGCAGCAGATAGCAGGCACAGAAGATAAAACTGGTTTTTGGACAGATGGAAGGAGGCAGATTTTCCACCACCACCGCTTTTGCTCACCAGCACAAACATCCCAACTTCTTCCAGCCTGTCCTTCCCATGTCACCCTGGGTTGCACTGTGGAGGTGGACAACTGCACCAGTTCCCGGACTGGTTTGCAGCCCAGTGCTGCTACACGTGCTGCTGGGGGAGCTCCCCTTCCCCTCACACTCCCCAGCACCTGCAGTACTTTCCCTGCAGAAGGAGGTGGCTGGGGCACAAGGGGCGATGAAGGATCTTTCCCCTTCAGCGTGCTGATAATACACTGTCCATCCCCATCACCATCTGCTGCCTCAAGTGGAGGACCTGCCAATCGACATGAAATGCAGTCTGCAGAGCCAAGACTATGCAGCATGAGTGCTCCACATGAATCACAGATGCTGGGGATATAAAACACCCAGCCACCCTTCCCAGGCTCCTGCCAGCACAGACCCTCCCTTGCTATATTTCTGAGCTGCTCCGTGCTCCACTAGCAGAGGGGAGAAGTAATTTTACTTCAAGTGTCACCTGTGAAAGTTGCAAATGGGGACAGGAATAGATTAGCTGCTTATCTGCAACAAATAGTTAATAAAACCAGCTCGTAGCTCCAGAGACAACAGTCAGAAAAAGCAGTTTCCTTTCTAAACAGCAGAGCAAAGTGTCAATACCATGAAGCAAGTTTCCTTACAAGGTTTCTGGATGCATTTCTTTTCCCTAATCCGCACAGGCAGCAAGCGAAGATGACGGTGCCTCTTCCTGAACACCTTTTACTAAAGCCCAGAGGAGACTGAATGCATAGGTCTCTGCTACAAATGGAGAGGTTTGGAGTTATTAACATCCTTGTGGCACCACTTGACTAGGTTCAGTTTGGGCTCAAAGCCTCCTTGCTCATCAATGTGAGGACAAATAAATTTGTGACCAAAAACTCTCTCCTTTTGTGTGGAGCTTAGGAGAGCATCAAGAAGGGTAGGGCATAGGAGGGGAGCAAGTTTCATTCCTCAGTGCCTCTTTGAGGAGCAGCTTTCACTTCAAACCTGTCCTGAAAGAGATTCCCATCAGGTAACCATTACCACCATAAAAATCAATGCAAATATGTACTCTCACCATAAACCATTTAATTCACAAGATCAAGGAGAGAACATTTCCAAAACACAGGTGGGACATTGCAGCTCAGCAAGTGCCTCTGCCCCATGTGAATGGGGAGCACACCAGCAGCACAGGGAGCCCAGCCACCACAGCAAGGCTTGGCTTTCCTCGTCCAAGCACAATGAGCGGAAGGCTGGCTAAAGGCAGGTCAGAGCAACCTTTGTACTCACCGATCCTCAGGGAATGGGGGCTGGCAGCCATCCTCATCAGCCACAGCAGAAGGAGCACCAGAGGCGCCAAGACACGGGGCATCTTCTATAAATCCTCATGGAGCCCTTTGGTGGTCTGGGCATGACATAACTCTGCAGAGAGGGAACACACGGCACCGTGAGCACCTCTGCTCCCGAACCAGCGACGCAGCAGGATGACACCGCTTCACGCTTGCCAAGCACTTGGGACAAAGAGTCTATTTACCAAAGGAGGAGGAGGAGGAAGCTATTTACAGACTATGAATTATTCAGGATTTGGAGTCAAACTGGGCGAAGAGCTTCTAACAAAAAATGGAAAAGAAATACAAGGAAAAGTCCAAATATTTCATCTTGGCATTTTTAGCAGTTCCACAAAAACAAGTGGAAATCAATATTGTGTCACATCTCTAATTTCTCTTCCCCTCTTCCTTTTTTTTTTTTTTACTCAAAGCAGCCTGCAACTTAAAATACAATACTGAGTTCTGGTTTCAGGATACGACAAAACATTTTCATACCAAGACATAATTGAGGGATGGGAGTTGGAGACAGAGAATCACTTTGGTCACCAAACTAGAAACCAATTCTTTGGACTGCTCCAGCCCCAATGACAGTCACCACCTCCTTCCCTCCCCGTCCTGAGCAAGAGGATTCAGGACAAGACCAAGAGCAGGACTTTTTTTTTTTTTTCCTCTCCTCTTACAAGGTGACATTGCCCCAACACAAAGAGGTCCAACTTTCAAAGTCCAAACATCATCGAAACAAAGAGCAGTGAGTGGAGATCCACAAACCTATCATTAGTACAGATGTTGGCCCTGGTTGTCTCACAGCAGACTCTCGTGGCACAGTTTAACAAGTTTTTAACAAATACCATTTTAAACAGCTGCATAGAGGGTAGATTTTACTTTACAGGAGAAATACTTGTCCCTCAAGTTGATAAAATTATCTCCACAGGCAGCAATGTCCTTATATGCTGACTTTGAGTATTTCATCTGTTACCTTATCTCTCCCTTCTCCAATTTTCTGGCAAACATTCTCACACTTTCATTTGTCTAGTTCTTGGGCCAAATATTGAAGTCCTGACACAGGCAAAGTCTTTAATCTGCCTTTGAAGTTACCAGGAGTTTTGTTCAAGAAAGACAAAGCTTTTTTTACTTGCAATTTTAAAATTCAGCTATTTTTAGATTACATTTAGACTTCCTTCATCTCCTCTCAGCACACCCCGGAGGGGCTATCCCCTTTTTACAGACAGCAAAGGGAGGTAGAAGAAATACTGAGATGTGGCCACAGAAATGAAGGTAACGCAGGGGCTGAGCAGGGAGCCGCCGCACATCTCCGCTCCCTGCGCCTTGATGTCTTTCTGGATCACATCTCCCTTGGGAAGCTCCCACCAGCAGCCCTGCCTTCTGAGTCCCAATTCTCTCAGTTTCAAGAAACTGTAGGGATCCCATGCTCAAGTGTCCACTGGACACTGGAAGAGCATCCTGATTCCAGAAGTTGAGTGCTCAACACATTTTTAAAAAGCAGAAGCTGCCAAAACCCACCTGGAAATCATTAGCCACCTCTGAGAAGGGCAATGGCAATTTTCTCTTTTTTTCAGTGGGAGTTATAGAGTAAAGCCCAGGCAGGAAAAGCCCTAAAAGGTTAAGCACATGGTAAATTGGTTACTCAGAAGCATTGGCAGCAGCAGAGCCAGATTGTGGAGCAACATATCATTTGAGCAGTTTGAAGCCGTTATCTCAAAACTTTCCAAGTTATTGACAAAACAGCAGGATCACATCAAATTTACTCACACCGGTATTACAGCCCAGGCTGTGGAACCAGCGCTTGCAGCACTGAAGTCACACACAGGGACACACACACACCTCCTCCCAAGCCTCCCCTGCACAGCCAGACCAGGAGCCAGGGGCATCTCCAGCCCCTACAGAACCCCTACATTTTAGACTCTGCAAAGACAAGCTGCACTAGGGTAACCACTCCAAAACAGCCAAAGCCTGGGAAAGGGTCCCGTGATTTTCAGCTCCAAGGGACAGACCTCCAGGCCACCTCTCCTGTTTGCAGCCTGGTCTGGTGAAGAGGTGAGTTACGAGATTCCTAGAGAAGCAGCTGCACTTGCATCACCAGCTTAGAGTTAATAGCAAAGCTAAATAATAAACACAGGGCACCCGCTGTGCTCTGCTACGTGAGCAGCAGGGTTGTAATTACCTAGAACACAGAGCACAGAGGGATGCTGCCTTCACCTAACGCATTACCCACTGCTAAGAACAGCTTCCCAGTACTTTTGATTTTCGATCACGAATCCAGGGAACAGCTGGCAGCAATAGAAATACACCTTGGGGTTCACCAAACAGCAGAACTACACAGGCTCCTACAACCTGTACCCATAGACCGTTTGGTTGATGGAGGTGCTTGCAAAACACCCAAGGAGCAGAACACAAGGACGCTTCCCCACCATCACACCTGGCCTCAGGAGCAGTGGGAACAGACACTGGAATTCAAGACGTAGGAAAAGAGTGGATTTTTCTTCCTAGCTTAACATCAAGGTTTCTACTTGGAACAAAGAGGTATTTCAGTCCAACAGCTCTCCCTAGTCCCCAAGTTCCTCCAGCCTCCTACCCTCTAAATTCAGGCACGAAAGGGTGGTAAAGACCTTTCAAACCCCTTTGTTGTAAAGTAATTTTTGCCTCGCTGAGCTAGGCATCCTTCCAACAGCTTTTGCTTCCTTACAGCTGCAAGGTGGATCTGTGTCTCTCTCATCTCCCCAGGAGAAGCCGTAACACACGCTTGCAGCAATGAATCACGAGGTATCGACTCCAGTGCAGCCCAGAATTCCACAGAGAGGGAAGGGAAGACAACATTCCTCTCTCACGCAACACAAGGTAGAAAGCCTTAGAAGCCAAGAAAACACTTAAGAGAACAAGGATATTTAGCAACTTGCTGCACTAATTCTTGCACATGTGAAGATGACTTACCCCAGACTCATCCTCACCACAGTTTGCTGGAAATGAATCAAACCAGCTTCCTTTGCTGAAGTTTCCACCAAGAACAGGTCAGCCTATACATTTACAGCTCTTGCATTAATGGTGCTATGATAGCAAGTGAGCCTGGTTGTCAGACAGCTGTTTATAAAGCTGTCTGAATCTGGTAGCCCCAAAAGGAGCAGGCTGGCTCCTTCAGGGTGGTATGTGAATTGCTGAATAGCTGGTGGAGCATGAGCTGGCTCCTGGCTTCTCTCTGCACAGCACAAGTACGTAATTCTTTTTCTGTTAAGTTCTTTTTTATCTTTAGCTCTGAAAACTCAAGAGAATAAAATAAATCAAGACTATACTGAACAGTTTTGAGTTCTCTCTGGAGATAAAAGTCTCTAAATACCAAGCAGAATTATGGACGATTTGCTTCTCAGAGGAAGCAACTTGCTTCTGAAACTACTTATACATTTTTAATGACTGTGTGAGATGGTACTCTTCTTCGTTGCTAGCACCGCATCTTCCCGATAGTTTGAGGTTTTTGCAGAAAAATTCTTAGACAATACAGCAAAAGCCAACAGGCAGAATAAAAGGTTAAATCACAGAATAAAACTCTCCTCAAGCTGCCACACTGCTAGTGAAGACATCTCTGTGCACCCTCCTGTTCCCTCTGCCCAATCTGCCACGAACACTCAAGAAATCCAGCTGCACTGCTATTTCTGCTCACACTTCCAGAGATACCACCACCCTGCAAAACCTGTTTGCCACCTGCCCTGCCACATCTGGCCTCAGCAAGCTGGGGAGCCCTGGAGATGGGCTGCATCCCAGCCAGACAGGGCGCAGCATCTCCAGCTGCACTGGCACTTCGCTCCGCAGTCCTGCAGGGCAGTGCCAGGACCAGGTTTTCAAAAACCCCAGCGCGTGCTTTATCCTGATGCAACCTCCATTTACTTCTGCTGCAAAAACCCCTACGCCATCGTTTGCAAGCTCACTGAGAAACCACAAACACCCTTTAAAAATTGGCAGCAACTTCAATCTTATCCATGCAATCGGCAGGCAGACATTTACCCAACTGCTAGTTTGGAGGTGGCTTTGGTGTTGATGGATCTTTCTGCGCATCACCAGAAGTTTGATGAATGGTGAGAAAATGCAGCTCAAGCAAAGCTAGAGTAATCCTCACAGCTGAGACAACAAATTTAACAGCTGCAGAGCAGCAAGGAATTCTGAAAAACTGTCAGGAAATATCAACAAACAACAAAGCCTTTTTCAGTCTTTCGACAAGCAAAGAGAGCTATTTCGTTTTGCAAAGCTTCATCTGCAGAGAGGCTCAAATTTAAATGGAACTAACAAGAGGGAAAGAACCTGAAAAACATTTCAACAGGTGACTGTTGCTGGGCTTGAGAAAGTGCCTCTGTGTCTCGGGGGGGAGGAAGAACTAAATTGCAAGCCTGCCCCAGGGATACGGAGACATAGGTTCAATTAAACCGAAAAATCACTCCATTTAAAGCTACGAACAATATGTTTTCCTCTGTAAAATGCACAATTAGCATGGGTAAATCATTACCACTAGGTATTGTTGCAGTGAAAACCTCAGTAAGATTGAGAGAAGGATCAGACATTTATAGAGAGAATGAATAGCTAGAATTACAACAATAAGGTTTTAAAAAAAAAAAAAACCAAAGATTTTGAGATTTTGGATGGCATGTAAACCCTTCACGCTGCAAGGCACTGGCTAACTCCCTATGTTTGAGGGTTAGAAGAATCACCCCTTGGGGCAAGCTTCCTTCCACTGCTTCTGGAAGCAGCCAGTACTAAAAAAGGATATTTAACAATATGAAGCACAGTTCTGTTCCAGTCTAGCAATTTCTATGTTCCTATAAAAACTATGTCTCCTTTTAGATTTCATCAGCATTAAAGAGCCTCCTTCACTTTCAGCCACCATGCCTTTCCTCTTCTCCCATTGTCCTCAAAATATTTGCACTGTGGCTTGCCAGGGATGAACTCATCTGAGGTGAGAGACAGACCAGCGGTATCTCTCTTCCCCAGGTGCCGGGGGGATAAAAGGACCTCTGACTCTCCATCACACCACTGTGACAGCACA